ACCCCCCCCCCCCCCAAAAAAAGTCATGTATTTTAGTAAGCATTACAAATAACTGAAAACACACCTGAAGGCTGGAGGATGTCTGAATCAGGAAACTCGTCAAAGTTGGAAGTGTCGTCAATGCTTTTGATCTCAATTGGAATAGCTGCCGGTCTCTCCCTGGACGAAAGAAAAAAAAACGCATATTAGAATGATTTCTGAAGGATCATGTGATACTGAAGACTGGAGTAATGGCAGCCTTGGTGATAAAGACTTCTTTCAAAATGTGCTCTACTTGTAGTATGATGAATGAACCAGAAGTAATACAAGCCCCAAAGTTACGTTTTTTTTTTGTTTTTTTACTGCTTATTTGACAAGACAAGTCATTTTTTAACAAAACTGGATACATAAATAAATGAATTAATAAAAACTATTTCCTGGATGATAACTGGATACCACTTGCTGAATTAAACATGCAATGTGACAAGATCATTTGACCAATTAAGATCAATCATTTGTTGAAATATTTATAATGCAATGATGCCTCACATTTCACCAGTGGTGGAAAGAGTACTGAAAATTTGTATTTAAGTACAAGTACTGTTACATTGCTGAAATAATACTCAATTACAAGTAAAAGTACTGGTGTCAAAACAGTACTTCAGTTAAAATACAAAGTACTCCTCTCAAAAACTACTCAGAGTACTAGTTACTAGTTACTTTTTAGCCGGCGATATTTAATGAATTACCAAAAAATATTCATATCAAAGATCTATGTGGATAATAACTACTTTAAACAAAACCCACTTTTATCTTATTGACAAAATACGTGAATTAGTGGTCATGATACAGGAATTTCTAACTTCAATACCTTGAAAAATATCAGTATCAAAGTACCCGTGAATGGGAAGTTGCAACTGACTTCAGTGTTGTGATGTATTTCCAAGTGAAACGGAATATTGAATAAAGGGCAGGGTTTTATTGTGGTGCACCTCCACTCCACCTCTTGCTCATAGCAGATTCACGGTTGGATAGGAGTGGTTAAGAATATCTGCTTGTTACGTCTAACATCACGCTTCACCGCTTCTGGGTCCTAATGCTCTGCCAGACGCCCCAAGAACACAACAAACTGCTAATATACACCCACAATGTCATGTAATACTGAAAGATTAAGTTCCGTCTGCTCTGGTATAGTTAAGGATGACGTCAATATTGCCATATCAATTTGAGCCGGATTTAGACCCCGAGAATATTGAACAAGAGGATCGCCCAGAACCTTTGCACGCACGGACATTGCAAGACATATTAGAGTGGTAACTTTATTGCTGTTGTTTTTTGGCTAAATCACGTTTTAGATAGGATGTCAACAACCGCTTAAAAACAACTGCATTTACTATGTACAGATAAGTGCATATGTATTATTTTTATTGTTATTTAATTATAGATATTTTAATATCTCAATTATTTTTTTGTCCATCCATTTTTTGTCAAGGCAACCATTATTTCAAGCTTTAAATGGTTTAATCCAAGTCTTCTAAAAAGACACATTCGCTTTATATGATGAACAGATTTTATATAGGCTTTTATTTACATACATATAAATATTGATCAATTACCATTACAAAAATCTCAGTCTTAAACGTTTGGGCCCTATTGTCTTTAAAATAGGGTAACTTTGTAGCAAAAGCTTACAGCACAAGGAAGCTTGATTTCAAATTTGATTTAAAACTGAACTGAATTTACAAAAAAAAACAAGTACAGAGTCAGTAATAAAATTATAAAACAAATGACCTCAATTCAGTTTGAGGTATTCAAAATATGACAACACTGAATTTTTTTCCGTCTGCTCCGGTTTAGTTAAGGATGGCGTTAATATTGCCATATCAATTTGAGCCGGATTCAGACCCAGAGAATATTGAACAAGAGGATCGCGCAGAACCTTTGCATGCACGGATGCACGGATATCGCAAGACAGATTAGAGTGGTAACGTAATTGTTGTTTTTTGGCTAAATCACGTTTTAGATAGGATGTCAACAACCGCTTAAAAACAACTGCATTTACTATGTACTGATAAGTGCAACGGTAATATGTATTACATCGTAGAAATGGCATACAACTTATACTTTGAAACGTAAATAACACACACAACAACAAATAAAGCAGCACACTTACAGGCTGTGATGCAGATACAGCAGATTGTCCCGACAAAGTAGGAACTGCTCCGTCTTTTAGCAAAAGCTTTTTGGCGAAACCAGCACTGTACTCCCTCATGACTCCCCTCAAAACTTGAGGCTACAGCAGCACTTCTTCTTCCTCGTCGCCTTGTCTGATGCACTCAACCAAGCATTCTAACCACGACCTCGCCCCTCCCCACATCCCAACCATTCGAATTTCCGTAGGCGGGATTTATTTTAATGATATTCTAATGGGCCGCTTTGTGATATCACAAACCCCAGAAAACCACGCTGTAGTCCAAACAAGCTGTTCGTTGTAGTGCTTGAAAAGGGATTTTTTAAAAACTAAATATCTCCCTTTGGAGTGGACTTTGAGATTTGTAACTTTCTAGATC